CAGCTATGAATCGTGTCGATCTCCTTGGGTGTAGGACGGAGTCACCCTTCCTTCAGAAAGAAAGTAGTAGTAGGGTAAATTTGCCTATACCTATAATAGAGCCATAGCCATTGCTCGGGTTGCTTCAAAGGTAAAGATATTAGCCGACCGGCTTACCGACGAACGGGAACTCCACGAGGATAGGATCTCCTAACCTAGTGGATCACCCGAGGGTTTGAAGACCCAGATCAAAGTCTATGAGTTACATATTCCAAAGAACAAGCACAGGGTGGCTGCCAGCCCCTTGTCAGAAGTGAGGAGTTGTTGGTTAACAAATTCTTCCTCATGTATTGGCCCTGGTACACAGGGACAGGCAGTGAGCCGCTAAAGGGGTAACCGCAGAGGTGTTGAGCCTAATTCAAACCCACCTGTAGTCACTATGCTGGGGGATGAGACGGAAACGACGAGCCCATTCGTCAACCATCCTGTGTAGCACGGTCACCGAGTTCAGCCATTTTGGAGAGTTTGTGTTTCGCCATCATGGTTTATGGAAAGACAGAAGGAGTGGTTCAATGCTTTTCCTCGTGTTTGCTTACCTCTTCTTTTCGGGTCTTCAGGATCTTTATTAGCTGTGATGCCAGGGTCCGACTTGTGTATCAAATCTGTTGACTCGATGGTGAATCCACGTTCACTCTTAGTAGCTTTGTGTCAGGCCTCTCCTACTTTGGCAGAAAGACTTGAGGAGCATATTGTCGTCAATAAAGAGAAGTGAAAAAGAGAAAAGTAAGAAGTCAATCCGAGTAGAGTCAAGTAGTGATGCTGTCTGGTCTGTTGAGCGATCTTAATGGTCTTTGGCTCCCTTTGGCTCATAACCGAAATTCGCTATTGATTACTGGGAAATGAGGGTGTGCATCTAATGTCGAAGGCCTAGGATTATTCAGTGGGTGTTGCACATATTGAAACTTCTAACCAATCCATATCACTGAAAACATATCCAGCTGTGGTTCAGCCCTGAATCAGACATGGAAGTTGCAGAGATCCTGGCTGCCCCCCGTCCAGTGTAAATAGCGCATTATGAGTCACTGGTAGCTATAGACCTCAAAGCAGCCATTCTCATAACTCAT